TATGAAGTCAGCACAAAAGTGAAACGGATATATAACTGGGTCAGCTTCAGTGGAAAGTGCTGTGTGTGTCAGGTGTGTGTAGTAGGCCGGTACACACTCCTCAACTGAGTTTTGTAGACCTACAGTCGTGTTCAGTAGGTCTGTGTTGTAAGAATGATCATCTTGAGAAAATTACACAAAGAAAACGTGAACATCTTGAAAAACATCATACATTTTATTTGTGTATAATCTAAAAGAATAACATTTAATGTATTATTCTTGATTCATCCATGTCATTGAAGAGAGATGTAGTATCTTGAATACATGACCCTGATATCGCAGGAGCTATTCCTAATAACTCTTGTCCAATCAGAAGAGACTTGTTTTGATGTAACGATATATTGACAAGAATACACAGATGAATGTAATGGTGTTTGGAGATTAGACCCCGTTGTGCAGGGGTATCATTTGGGGGAGTGTCAGAAGCCCATAAACGCCCGTTAAATGTCTCTTAAGGGCTTCCGTAGTTGTGGTGTTTTCATGTCTCCAATTATAACTGATAATAAAGCTGTGAATCATCTCTTTTTAAACGTGACGTGTCGAGACGTATTCTATAGGCTACTTCTGGAAGTTTTGTGGTTTGATTTTCCATCTTGTTTCTGCATCACTTCTGTATTCCCACATATCATCATCATCATCATCATCTGAGCTTTAACCATCAAACACCCCGAGAAATCCCCGAGTGAGTGGAGAGCCTTTGATCAGCAGAGCGCGTGGGCAGACGTCACAACGCTCAGTTAGGAAATGAAAAGTGCTGCTCTTTGAGATATTGTTTGCAAAGTCAGTTTTAATTGGGTGTTAAAGGTCTCCTATTATCTTCCTCTTCATCAATATATCCCAGGTCTCAGATATAATCAGAGCCTGTCTCTGATTGGCTGAAACACCAAACAGATCATTGCAGCATTACCCATAATCCCCTCTGTTTTAGCCCTGTTTCAAAAGTGCTGATTCTCTGTCTGTTACTGTAGATGAAAATAAGGAGCCCCTCCCCACGCCCCTCTGAGAGACATTTGGTTACAAAGAACTCAATGGTGCTCTAGGAGGAGATTCAGGTGATAAAGGGGGGGGGGGGGGTTACCTTGGTTGCTGATTGGCTAATGGTTACACAAGAGGCACATGTTGATGGAGAGGAGACATGGAGAAGAGGGGACACATGTTGATGTAGAAGAGACCGTAGCCTCTCAGTGCAGCTAGGTGTCTTCTCCTCTGCCAAAGCCCCTCTTACCTGTGGGGTTCCCCAAGGCTCTATCCTGGGCCCCATCCTCTTTCTACTGTACATACTGCCCCTAGGTTCAATTCTCACAAAACACAACATCCCCTTCCATTGTTACGACGACGATGTACAGATCTATCTGCCACTCAATTCAAATGTCAACTCACTACAGCAGTTGATGGACTGCTTAGCAGAGATCAAATCCTGGCTGAGCCAACATTTCCTCAACCTCAATGAGAGTAAGACCGGGGTCATCTTTTTTGGACCCCCACCTCCAGCCTCCCAGGTTGATATTCTGGGCTCCCTCCAAAATAACATCCTCCCCTCTGTCACGAACCTTGGAGTGACCTTCAATAGCGCTTTTAAAAATGTGATAAGCAGGTCAGTACCGTAGTCAAAACCTGCTTTTTTAAATAAGACTATTGGCTAAGACCAAGTCGTTTTTATCTTTTAAAGACCTAGAAAGGGTTATTATGCCTTTGTTACCTCGAGACTGGATTACTGCAACGCTCTGTATGTGGGTATGGACCAGGCCTCAATTAGACGCCTCCAGCTAGTTCAGAACGCAGCTGCACGTCTTCTGACTGGCCATAAAAAGCGTGACCACATCACCCCAATTCTGGCTTCATTGCACTGGCTTCCAGTTCGGTTCAGAATAGATTTTAAACTCCTTTTATTTGTTTTCAAAGCCCTAAATGGGCTGGCTCCTCCGGCCTATATAGCTGAACTCCTCCAGCGCTACACCCCAGGCAGAGCCTTAAGGTCGGATGATCAGCTGCTGTTGGTAGTGCCTAAGATCAGGCTCGAAACCCGAGGGCACCGAGCCTTCGCAGCGGCTGGCCCCAGGCTCTGGAACACTCTGCCCCTCCATGTGAGGTCGGCCCAGACCCTGGGTTTTTTTTAATCCACTCTTAAAACACACTTCTTCTCCCTGGCCTTCTAGTCAGAGCGGAGCACGACTCCTGACTTTTCCCTGTGTTTTTTATATCTGTTGTAATTTATTGTCTTTTATTGTGATTGTAGTATTTATTACATGTACAGCACTTTGGCCCGACCAAACATCGCTTTTAAATGTGCTTTATATATAAACTTTGATTTGATTTGACATGAAGAAGAGGGGACACATGTTGATGTAGAAGAGACATGAGGAAGAGGGGACACATGTTGATGTAGAAGAGACATGAGGAAGAGGGGACACATGTTGATGTAGAAGAGACATGAAGAAGAGGGGACACATGTTGATGTAGAAGAGACATGAGGAAGAGGGGACACATGTTGATGTAGGAGAGACATGAAGAAGAGAGGACACATGTTGATGTAGAAGAGACATGAGGAAGAGGGGACACATGTTGATGTAGGAGAGACATGAAGAAGAGAGGACACATGTTGATGTAGAGGAGACATGAAGAAGAGGGGACACATGTTGATGTAGAAGAGACATGAGGAAGAGGGGACACATGTTGATGTAGGAGAGACATGAAGAAGAGAGGACACATGTTGATGTAGAAGAGACATGAGGAAGAGGGGACACATGTTGATGTAGAGGAGACATGAAGAAGAGGGGACACATGTTGATGTAGAGGAGACATGAAGAAGAGGGGACACATGTTGATGTAGAGGAGACATGAAGAAGAGGGGACACATGTTGATGTAGAGGAGACATGAAGAAGAGGGGACACATGTTGATGTAGAAGAGACATGAGGAAGAGGGGACACATGTTGATGAAGAGGGGACACATGTTGATGTAGAAGAGACATGAAGAAGAGGGGACACATGTTGATGTAGAGGAGACATGAAGAAGAGGGGACACATGTTGATGTAGAAGAGACATGAAGAAGAGGGGACACATGTTGATGTAGAAGAGACATGAGGAAGAGGGGACACATGTTGATGTAGAAGAGACATGAGGAAGAGGGGACACATGTTGATGTAGGAGAGACATGAAGAAGAGAGGACACATGTTGATGTAGAAGAGACATGAAGAAGAGGGGACACATGTTGATGTAGAAGAGACATGAGGAAGAGGGGACACATGTTGATGTAGAAGAGACATGAGGAAGAGGGGACACATGTTGATGTAGGAGAGACATGAAGAAGAGAGGACACATGTTGATGTAGAAGAGACATGAGGAAGAGGGGACACATGTTGATGTAGAAGAGACATGAAGAAGAGGGGACACATGTTGATGTAGAAGAGACATGAGGAAGAGGGGACACATGTTGATGTAGGAGAGACATGAAGAAGAGAGGACACATGTTGATGTAGAAGAGACTTGAGGAAGAGGGGACACATGTTGATGTAGAGGAGACATGAAGAAGAGGGGACACATGTTGATGTAGAGGAGACATGAAGAAGAGGGGACACATGTTGATGAAGAGGGGACACATGTTGATGTAGAGGAGACATGAAGAAGAGGGGACACATGTTGATGTAGAAGAGACATGAAGAAGAGGGGACACATGTTGATGTAGAAGAGACATGAAGAAGAGGGGACACATGTTGATGTAGAAGAGACATGAAGAAGAGGGGACACATGTTGATGTAGAAGAGACATGAAGAAGAGGGGACACATGTTGATGTAGAAGAGACATGGAGATAGAGGGGACACATGTTGATGTAGAAGAGACATGGAGAAGAGGGGACACATGTTGATGTAGAAGAGACATGAAGAAGAGGGGACACATGTTGATGTAGAAGAGACGTGAAGAAGAGGGGACACATGTTGATGTAGAAGAGACGTGAAGAAGAGGGGACACATGTTGATGTAGAAGAGACGTGAAGAAGAGGGGACACATGTTGATGTAGAAGAGACATGAGGAAGAGAGGACACATGTTGATGTAGAAGAGACGTGGAGAAGAGGGGACACATGTTGATGTAGAAGAGACGTGAAGAAGAGGGGACACATGTTGATGTAGAAGAGACGTGAAGAAGAGGGGACACATGTTGATGTAGAAGAGACGTGAAGAAGAGGGGACACATGTTGATGAAGAAGAGACATGAAGAAGAGGGGACACATGTTGATGTAGAAGAGACATGAAGAAGAGGGACACATGTTGATGTAGAAGAGACATGAGAAGAGGGGACACATGTTGATGTAGAAGAGGACATGAAGAAGAGAGGGGACAACATGTAGATGTAGAAGAGACATGAAGAAGAGGGGACACATGTTGATGTAAGAGAGACATGAAGAGAGGGGGACACATGTGATGTAGAAAGAGACATGAAGAAGAGGGGACACATGTTGATGTAGAAGAGACATGAAGAAGAGGGGACACATGTTGATGTAGAAGAGACATGAAGAAGAGGGGACACATGTTGATGTAGAAGAGACATTAAGAAGAGGGGACACATGTGATGTAGAAGAGACATGAAGAAGAGGGGGACCATGTTGATGTAGAAGAGACATAAGAGAGAGGGGACACATGTTGATGTAGAAGAGACATGAAAGAGAGGAGGGGACACATGTTGATGTAGAAGAGACATTAAGAAGAGGGGACACATGTTGATGTAGAAGAGACATGAAGAAGAGTGGACACATGTTGATGATAGAAGAGACATGAAGAAGAGGGGACACATGTTGATGTAGAGAGACATTAAGAAGAGGGGGACACATGTTGATGTAGAGAGACATGAAGAAAGGGGACACATGTTGATGTAGAAGAGACATGAAGAAGGGGGACACATGTTGGGAACACATGTTGATGTAGAAGAGACATGAAGAAGAGGGGACACATGTTGATGTAGGAGAGACATGAAGAAGAGGGGACACATGTTAATGAAGAAGAGACATGAAGAAGAGGGGACACATGTTGATGAAGAAGAGACATGAAGAAGAGGGGGACACATGTTGATGAAGAAGAGACATGAAGAAGAGGGGACACATGTTGATGTAGAAGAGACATGAAGAAGAGGGGACACATGTTGATGTAGAAGAGACATGAAGAAGAGGGGACACATGTTGATGTAGAAAGAGACATGAAGAAGAGGGGACACATGTTGATGTAGAAGAGACATGAAGAAGAGGGGACCATGTTGATGATAGAAGAGACATGAAGAAGAGGGGACACATGTTGATGTAGAAGAGACATGAAGGAGAGGGGACACATGTTGATGTAGAAGAGACATGGAGAAGAGGGGACACATGTTGATGTAGAAGAGACATGAAGGAGAGGGGACACATGTTGATGTAGAGAGAAGACTTGAAGAAGAAGGGACACATGTTGATGTAGAAGAGACATGAAGAAGAGGGGACACATGTTGATGTAGAGAGACTGAAGAATAGGGGACCACATGTTTGATGGAGAAGAGACATGAAGGAGAGGGGGACACATGTTGATGTAGAAGAGACATGAAGAAGAGGGACACATGTTATGTAGAAGAGCATAAGAAAGAGGGGACACATGTTGATGTTAGAAGAGACATGAAGGAGAGGGGACAATTTTATGTAGAAGAGACATGAGGAGAGGGGACACATGTTGATGTAGAAGAGACATGAAGAAGAGGGGACACATGTTGATGTAGAGAGACATGAAGAAGAGGGGACACATGTTGATGTAGAAGAGACATGAAGAAGAGGGGACACATGTTGATGTAGAAGAGACATGAAGAAGATGGGACACATGTTGATGTAGAAGAGACATGAAGAAGAGGGGACACATGTTGATGAAGAAGAGACATGAAGAAGAGGGGACACATTTTGATGTAGAAGAGACACGAAGAAGAGGGGACACATGTTGATGTAGAAGAGACATGAAGAAGAGGGGACACATGTTGATGTAGAAGAGACATGAAGAAGAGGGGACACATGTTGATGTAGAAGAGACACGAAGAAGAGGGGACACATGTTGATGTAGAAGAGACACGAAGAAGAGGGGACACATGTTGATGTAGAAGAGACATGAAGAAGAGGGGACACATGTTGATGTAGAAGAGACATGAAGAAGAGGGGACACATGTTGATGTAGAAGAGACATGAAGAAGAGGATTTTGCATAATATGTGACCTTTAATGAAATGTCCTCTACAGAGTTAAGATGCAGCGCAAACAGGAAGCTGATGGATGTGAGGAGGAGGATCAATGATGCTGCCCGCTGCCACACAACCAGCAACACACAGGTGACACATGAGACACAAACACAGGGAACAGATGTTTGTGTAGAACCGAGAAATACAGCACAACGTTCTTTACAATGAGAAATAATCAGAGGTGGGAAGTAAGTTCCATTTGGTTTTACCACTGTGTACTTTTACTCCACTACAGTTCAGAGGTACATGGTGTACTTTTCCTCCACTCCATGTATTAAATACCTTTAGTTACTTTACAGATGTGGATGAATGATGTGAAATCTAATCAAGTGTTGAATCAGACTTTAGTTCCACCTGGAGTAAATCCACCAGCTACCCTGCAGTATACAAAGTACTTCAAACTAGCTACACCTTCACCAGCTTTGAGAACACTTTCATGATCAATCATTATAAAACATATCATATATATTATTCTGAGATGGACCAATCTGCACAACGACTACTTTCACTGTCTTTCACTATATTTTGATGAGAATACTTTTCTACTTTCACTTGAGGAACATTTTGAATGCAGGACTTTTACTGTAACAGAGTATTCCTGCACTCTGGTACTTCTACTTTTACTCAAGTAGATCTGAGTACTTCTACTTTTACTTTTACTCAAGTACAAGATCTGAGTACTTCTACTTTTACTTTTACTCAAGTACAAGATCTGAGTACTTCTACTTTTACTCAAGTACTTTCTACTTTACTCAAGTACAGAAGTACTTCTACTTTTACCTCAAGTACAAGATCTGAGTACTTCTACTCTTACTTCACTCAAGTACAAGATCTGAGTACTTCTACTTTTACTCAAGTACAAGATCTGAGTACTTCTACTTTTACTCAAGTACAAGATCTGAGTACTTCTACTTTTACTCAAGTACAAGATCTGAGTACTTCTACTTTTACTCAAGTACAAGATCTGAGTACTTCTTACTTTTACTCAACGTACAAGATCTGAGTACTTCTACTTTTACTCAAGTACAAGACCTGAGTACTTCTACTTTTACTCAAGTACAAGATCTGTGTACTTCTACTTTTACTCAAGTACAAGACCTGAGTACTTCTACTTTTACTAAAGTACAAGATCTGTGTACTTCTACTTTTACTCAAGTACAAGACCTGAGTACTTCTACTTTTACTAAAGTACAAGATCTGTGTACTTCTACTTTTACTCAAGTACAAGACCTGAGTACTTCTACTTTTACTCAAGTACAAGATCTGTGTACTTCTACTTTTACTCAAGTACAAGATCTGAGTACTTCTACTTTCACTGTGCACCTGTAGAAGGTCAGGATGCTCTCTGTGGAGCACCTGTAGTTATTTAGGTGTTATTTCTGTTTCCTTTCAGTCACGTGAGGCAGCTGAGCAGATTTCACCTGAACACTCCTGAGGAGGACGATGAGACCATGAGCTCCGAGGACCCAAACCCTCACCCTGTCTCCTCCCATCGGGACCCAAACCCTCACCCCCATCGGGACCATGACCCTCACCCTGTCTCCTCCCATCGGGACCCAAACCCTCACCCCCATCTGGACCATGACCCTCAGCCTGTCTCCTTCCATCGGGACCATACCCCTCACCCTGTCTCCTCCCATCGAGACCCAAACCCTCACCCTGTCTCCTCCCATCGGGACCCAAACCCTCACCCCCATCTGGACCATGACCCTCACCCTGTCTCCTCCCATCGGGACCCAAACCCTCACCCCCATCGGGACCATAACCCTCACCTTGTCTCCCCCCATCGGGACCCAAACCCTCACCCTGTCTCCCCCGGTTCCTCCCTCTCCAGCACCCAGAGGCAGGACCTGAAACACAGCCTCCCCCCTGCTGGTTTCTGCTGCTACCAGCCCGCCGGATACGGCCTCAGGTCAGACCCCTCTTTTAAAGGTCTCCTATCATGCAAAATGCACTTTTTCATGTCTTTTATACGGTGGGTCGACATTTAAGAATTATGGAAAGGCTACTCCTTTAAGCCCCTGTCACACTGTCCCGAAATTGACACCCGATGGACACACGATAAAGGAAATGTTCAAATTCGGCTGTGATCGTAGCAACATCGGGCCATTCGTGAGGGCATCTTAAGCCATCGTATGACCGCCAGTGGAGTTTCTCAGGCTCCGGCAGCAACTTCGTGAGCGGCAACTTCGTAAGGCACTCGTGAGGGTATCTTGTCAAGTCGTGTCATCTTCGTGTTATCATCGGTGCATTCGCCCTCACTCTGATCGGGGCGAATGCCCGATGGAACAGATGATAACAAGATGCCCTCACGATGGCCTTACGAAGGGCAAAATTGACACACGAATTCAACACGAAAATGAAGCTTCTCAAGGTCCTTCGGCAATTTTTTGCATGCCAAAGATTTTGCCACCGCTCACGAAGTTGCTGCCGGAGCCTGAGAAACTCCACCCGCGGTCATACGATGGCTTAAGATGCCCTCACGAATGGCCCGATGTTGCTACGATCACAGCCGAATTTGAACATTTCCTTTATCGTGTGTCCATCGGGTTGTTTTATTGCACAACAAAATCATGTAAACATATTATGTAAACAACCCAATTTGTGTTCTGTGAAACTAAAAAGGATATAATATATTATTTTGAAGGACAGTTGACAGGAAGTTGTTGTTGTTATGGAAACAACATTACGGAGAAAACGTAATATCTTCTACATATAAAGACGGATAAAGTAAAGAACAAAGTCTGAAGATATCAGTACAGTATCATAGTACTGTAACATAATTGTTTGTTACTTTCGTTGCAGTTGTATGTCTTAAATGTCATGTAAATGTTGCCTTCGTGTGTGGTTCGGGGGCATCTTCGTGCGAAAATTCACAATTCAATATTCGGGTGTCAATTTCGGGACAGTGTGACGGGGGCTTTAGGGAGAACATGCTGTAGTGTCTGTGAAATGTTGTTTTGACTTGCACTTCAGGGCCACCATACCGTTCTACCTAAAGCATGCATACAAAAGTATTAAAGATACAAAAATGATATTTTTTTTTACAAAATACACATCCTGTAACAGTTCTGAGGATTTATTGCACAGTTATTAACGGCATGTATACATATTACACATAGTTGGTATTTAACCACAAGGTGTTATAGTCTGTGTTCTTAGTTAACATCAAGCTGTCTTTGCTCTTTTCTGCTGTAACAAATTCTGATTCTTATCTTCCAGCCAGCCCACGCCCTTCCCCAGCCAGACGCACCCCCCCGCCGCCTGGCTGCACCCCAGTTTCTCCAGCAGCTGGTCGGGGGGGTACCCCAGCAGCGGCTCCTCCCCAGCAGAGAGCTTCCTGTCTGGGTACAAGTTGGTGTCCAGCAGCCTGGAGCAGCCTTTGTCTCTGTGCTCCAACCCCCCCTCTGGGAACCTGTTCCACCACACGCTGTCTCCGTACTCCTGCGCTCCACCGGGGGCCGCCTGCTTCGCCCAGTTACCCCCCGACCCCTTCAGGGGCCCCAAGCCCTGGCCCCCCCCCCAACACCCTGCATACAACCCCTACTGTGAGTCTGCTATAAAAACTAGAGTGTAATTGTAGCTCGTTTCAATGTAAAAACAAAAAGACAAGGAGGGTTTTTAACACTAAACCTCTACTTTGTAAGGTTTCAGGTTTTACTGTATATCAGTATGTAGTGTCTCTACTTTAAAGAGTGCTCTCCTGCTGATGTTCAGGTGTATATCAGTATGTAGTGTCTCTACTTTAAAGAGTCCTCTCCTGCTGATGTTCAGGTGTATATCAGTATGTAGTGTCTCTACTTTAAAGAGTCCTCTCCTGCTGATATTCAGGTGTATATCAGTATGTAGTGTCTCTACTTTAAAGAGTCCTCTCCTGCTGATGTTCAGGTGTATATCAGTATGTAGTGTCTCTACTTTAAAGAGTGCTCTCCTGCTGATGTTCAGGTGTATATCAGTATGTAGTGTCTCTACTTTAAAGAGTCCTCTCCTGCTGATGTTCAGGTGTATATCAGTATGTAGTGTCTCTACTTTAAAGAGTCTTCTCCTGCTGATGTTCAGGTGTATATCAGTATGTAGTGTCTCTGCTTTAAAGAGTCCTCTCCTGCTGATGTTCAGGTGTATATCAGTATGTAGTGTCTCTACTTTAAAGAGTCCTCTCCTGGTGATGTTCAGGTGTATTTCAGTATGTAGTGTCTCTACTTTAAAGAGTCCTCTCCTGCTGATGTTCAGGTGTATATCAGTATGTAGTGTCTCTACTTTAAAGAGTCCTCTCCTGCTGATGTTCAGGTGTATATCAGTATGTAGTGTCTCTACTTTAAAGAGTCCTCTCCTGCTGATGTTCAGGTGTATATCAGTATGTAGTGTCTCTACTTTAAAGAGTCCTCTCCTGCTGATGTTCAGGTGTATATCAGTATGTAGTGTCTCTACTTTAAAGTGTCCTCTCCTGCTGATGTTCAGGTGTATATCAGTATGTAGAGTCTCTACTTTAAAGAGTCCTCTCCTGCTGATGTTCAGGTGTATATCAGTATGTAGTGTCTCTACTTTAAAGAGTTCTCTCCTGCTGATGTTCAGGTGTATATCAGTATGTAGTGTCTCTACTTTAAAGAGTCCTCTCCTGCTGAGGTTCAGGTGTATATCAGTATGTAGTGTCTCTACTTTAAAGAGTCCTCTCCTGCTGATGTTCAGGTGTATATCAGTATGTAGTGTCTCTACTTTAAAGAGTCCTCTCCTGCTGATGTTCAGGTGTATATCAGTATGTAGAGTCTCTACTTTAAAGAGTTCTCTCCTGCTGATGTTCAGGTGTATATCAGTATGTAGTGTCTCTACTTTAAAGAGTCCTCTCCTGCTGATGTTCAGGTGTATATCAGTGTGTAGTGTTTCTACTTTAAAGAGTCCTCTTCTCTTCAGACCCTGACTCCAGCAGACCTCCTGGAGCCGGATTCTCTCACATGTGAGTTTTTATTATTACTTCAAAGATATCTGTAATATAGTTAGGAGACTAACCGGCGCTCAGGTTATCAGATGTTGCTGCTAACTTCCTTACTGTTTGGATTTTATTTTACTATTTTATTTTTATACTTTTAAGATTAACTTTTCTTTTTAAATAAACAGGACCTAATATTGTGAGTTAAATGCATAAAAAAACTTTAAAATAAAAGCAATAAAACGGCTGAAAGTGTTCAAAAAGCCAAATAAATATGTACATTTTTGTTAACTCATCTGATTTCCGTGTCTGGATCTCTTGATAGACATGATATTGAATCTATAATCAATCAGACCCCCCCCCTCATGTTGCATGTTTCTAGTTACTTAATTAGAATGAATAACGTATTTCCTGCAGAGACTACATGGCCCCCGCTAAACAGAAGCAGCCTCACAACACGTCGCTGTCTCTGGAGCAGAGTGAGTGCTCAACATCACATTACAGTTCATTACAGATTCATTACTAAATATTATTTACAGATTCATTACAGATAAATTACATGTTATTTTACAGATTAATTACAGATTATTTACAGATTAATTACAGGTTATTTTACAGATTAATAATGCTCTTTTCATTATAACACCATGCTCTCTGATACAGGGAGGGTCTTCGTCACGTATGAAGCGGACAACGATAAACACGTGAACGAGATCATAAACTTTGTGGCTCTGCTGCGACACAACGGCTTCGACACACACGTACGTATAAAGTTTATTTGAATGTTTTCTCACAGGAGCTTCTGGATGTTTAAAATAACGTTTCTGTTTCAGATCGATATCTTTGAGCAGCAGTTCAGGAGCATCAGTAAGATCGACTTCATGGAGCGCTACCTCAGTGAGGTAACGAGCTTTAGAGTCAATGAACACCTCAGGAGGACGTGTGAATTTTAGGACTTGAAACTTTCTTGTTTGTAGACATAAAGGTTTAGACTTGAGACTTACGTTTGAATTTAAAGTTAGAGAGATCTGGGTGGGACGGGAAGTTTAAGACTTGTGATTTGAGAGGTGAGGCGGGAAGTTTAAGACTTGTGATTTGAGAGGTGAGGCGGGAAGTTTAAGACTTGTGATTTGAGAGGTGAGACGGGAAGTTTAAGACTTGTGATTTGAGAGGTGAGACGGGAAGTTTAAGACTTGTGATTTGAGAGGTGAGGCGGGAAGTTAAGACTTGTGATTTGAGAGGTGAGACGGGAAGTTTAAGACTTGTGATTTGAGAGGTGAGGCGGGAAGTTTAAGACTTGTGATTTGAGAGGTGAGACGGGAAGTTTAAGACTTGTGATTTGAGAGGTGAGACGGGAAGTTTAAGACTTGTGATTTGAGAGGTGAGACGGGAAGTTTAAGACTTGTGATTTGAGAGGTGAGATGGGAAGTTTAAGACTTGTGATTTGAGAGGTGAGACGGGAAGTTTAAGACTTGTGATTTGAGAGATGAGACGGGAAGTTTAAGACTTGTGATTTGAGAGATGAGACGGGAAGTTTAAGACTTGTGATTTGAGAGGTGAGGCGGGAAGTTTAAGACTTGTGATTTGAGAGGTGAGACGGGAAGTTTTGAGTTAAAGACTTAAGGCTTGTAGGATCCAATTAGAGACTTGTTTGAAACTTGAAGATTTAAACTGGAGGCTTAAGAATTAAAGGTAAGACTTGTGTCCGTAGACTTGAAGGCTAAGACTTAAGGGTTTAGACTTAAACATTAGTACTTGAGATTCAAGACTGTATGGTTGTGACCTTGTAACTTTAGACTTCAAGGTTAAGACTTGTGACCTTGTGACTGGAGACTGAAGGGATAAAACTAGACTTGTTTGAGATTTAGGGGTTGACACTTGTGACTATGAAAAAAAGACGTGAGACTAAATGGTAAGACTTGTGACTTGAGACTTGAAGGTTAAGACTTGAGACTTGAAGGATACGACTAGACTTGTTTGATAGTTGAAGGTTAAGGTTTGAGACTCAAGACTTGGGACTTTAAGACTTGGGACTTTAAGACTTGGGACTTTAAGACTTGGGACTTTAAGACTTGGGACATGTGTACGTTACACCTCTGTGGCTTTTCTTTTTTATTAGATCAAACATGTTTTATGAGGCAGGTCGAGTTAACAAGTCTTTTGCACCCCTCCCTCAGAAAGAGTACCTGATCATCATCATCATCAGTCCCAAATACTACGAGACGGTGACGTCCTCAGTGGGGGGGCTGGAGAGCGACGAGAGGACCTTCAACACCGTCTACATCCACAAACAGGTCCGAAACACACTCACGTTTATAAAGATTATATAACAAACACTCTCTGACATCTGTGGTTTATTGGGGCCCAGAAGTACATTCTAGTTGGTATAGGACAGTATGGTATGTTGCATCCCAGTGATGGCGAGGGGAAAGCCAGTTGAACTTGATTGTGTTTCCTCTTCAGCTCCAGAATGAGTTCATCCAGAACGGCAGCAAGAACTTCAGGTTTATTCCCATCGTGTTCCCCGGGGCGAAAAAGGTGAATCATCTGCTGTTACTCGGTGTGATGACACAGACACACTGATAACACACACTGTACAATCACAGGCTGCCAACCATGTGAGGAGCCTCCAGGGAGCGGGAGCAGGGTGAACAATGAACGAGCAGAGACCACCAGGAAACTCCCCGCTTCATTACTGGCATGCAAACAGCAACATTCTTCATACTTAGTGTGAGGGTTGAATCGATTGAATATGCAGATGAGTGTGGTTTTGAACTTGTGCTAACTTGCATACATTTCCAGAACTGAATGTGAACTCTGGATGAAGTCGCTCAGAAGATTACAATTCCTGTTTTTATTTGCTTTAATACTTTAACTATCTTATACTTGCAGTTTAGCACACTAATTATGGATCTATTTTTTTCTTTATAGTCTTTACTGTTTTTATCTATGACAAACATGGGCGGCGCAAGAGATTGTCTTTTGGGGTAGTTTCATAGAGGGCGCTCAAACAGGGTTTCCCCATTAAAGGAGACCTATCATGCAAAATGCACCTTTGTACGTCTTGTATACATGAACATGTGTCCCCGGTGCGTCAGGGAACTCACCAAGTGTCAGAACACACAACCCTCTCTCTTTTCCTCCGTACCCACATCTCTAAAAACGGGGCTTGAACGGATCTGACACAGACTGATCCAGATTTGAAAATAGTCTGACGTCAGGAGCTCCGCCTATATGGCCAACTCTCCACCAATCAGGGGAATGAGGGGTTGCCGTGGCATGGTAACATGACGCTCGTAACTCCGCCCCCTCCTTTGCAGGGGGCGTGGCCAGCTGCAGCGCATGCAAAGACAGGGTGGAGGAGAGCAAAATAGAGCGAAATGAGGCATGGCTCAAATGCATGATCTGTTTGGCATTTTGAAAAAGAAAACGTATAAATATACCTTAGGTACGGCCCTACAATATATTATTCAAATATAGCATGATAGGTCTCCTTTAAGGTACCGGTCGCTACAGTGGAAATTTCTACTGCAACACTCCCCACTCACACACACGCACGCACACACGCACACACAGTGCACCCGCGACTGTTGCAATGAAGGCTCGATAATCAGCTCACCGCATATAGGTGTAAGCAGGGGTAAAGTGCTATTTGTACAAGTGGGGGGTGGTCCTAACCTCCTTTAGGGTGGACCTCGCCTCCTCTAGGGGGGTCCGGGGGCCTGCTCCCCCGGGAAGATTTTTTTTTTAAATGTTGACGTTAAAAGCATCAATCTGGTGCAGTTTGAGAGCAACAT